GGGTGGGGGGGGGGGGGGGGGCCACGTAATCTGATGTCAAGCTCGGTAGAGCATGGCATTTCATAGGTAAAGGACAGAAATCATGACACCAAGTGAGACTTGCTGCTTTTCAGCTTGTAAAGCACAAGCTGCAGCTAAACCCTCAGCACCAGGGACCTGAGCCTCTTTATTAGTTGTACTGTCTTACTTGGTTTCCATATGTGTTCATGGTGCCATGAGGAGAAGAAAGTGCGTTTGTCGTATTACCTTCCTGAGCTCAATTTGAGGGGTCTCAGGCTCCATCTGGTACATCCTCTTGCTTTATGAAACCATTTCCTCAAAACTGAGGAGCACCGGGCGGTCCCTGTGGGGTTGCCATAATGCACCTGCGTCACAGCTCCACTTGTTAATTTGGTTTCCAGATGTTACTGTCACTCACGATGTTCACGAGAAGATGGAACATGGTCAAATCTCACCCGATGGCTTCTTGTCAAACTCTGCTGCCCCAGAGCTTATGAATATGGCAGGAGATGGTATCCCGCCCGACCAAGTGGATTCCCTGTCTGATGATTTCACTAGTCTCAGGAAAGATGACCTGATGCACAGTCCTGGTAGTAATGCACTCGTAGGAGGAACCAAGAACTGCAGTGTCTCTGTAGATGATCGAAAAGTCTCGGTAACGTCTGCTTTGGAAACTGGGCCAAATACGTCGCAAATAACTCCTGCTATGGCACAAGGAATCAATGCTGATATAAAACACCAGTTAATGAAGGAAGTTCGAAAATTTGGACGAAGTGAGTAGTGAAAGAACATCTATCAGTAATATAATGGAGGTCCCTTTCCGTTTATGTTTCAGAATAGATTCAAGGTATCTCTTGAGGTGCATTTTTGGGAAGTACTGGGTTTTCACATAATCTAAAATGACTCCTCTGGCTTTACCTAAAAGAGACCCAATACACCTTTCTCTCTCTCTTTCCCCTTACTTACTGTAATAGTTTCCTTTTGCTGCGATAACAACAAGTTATCACAAACTTCGTGGCTCAAAACTGTATTACCTTAGAGTTGTGGAAGTCAGATCTGAAATGACTTTCGCTGGGCTGGCACGAAGGTGTTGGCGGGCCAGGGTTCCTTCTGCAGGCTCTAGGGAGAATCCGTGTCCTCGCCTCTTCCAGCTTCTATGGGCTGCCTGTGCTCCTTCGCTCGTGGGCCCTTCCTCCATCTTCAAGCCAGCAACTTAGCCCCTTCTCTCCTCTCTAACCTCTGCTCCCACCCTTACATCTTTTCTTTCCGACCAGCTCTACTGCCTCCCTTTTATAAGGATATTTGTGGTTACGTTGGGCAACATGTATGAACATGGATAATCTCCCCATCTCAAGAGCCGTAACTTAATCACATCTGCAAAGTAAAGTCTCTTCTTTTGCCATATAAGGTAACATGTTCGCAGGTTCTCAGAATTAGGACACGGACCACTTGGGGGACCATTATTCAGCAGACCACACTGAATTAGTGTTTAGAGTTTCCCTAGCAGATATGTGCAGTTGTCTTGATTTGAGTGTTTCAAATACGAACTATACCTAACTTTCCACACACAAGGAATGATTACTGATGATGTGCAAAGATTGAATTTTATTCTTCATCCGTATTTTTAAAAATACTAATTTTTTTTTTAATATCTGCAGAGTATGAAAGAATTTTCACTTTGCTTGAAGGAGTGCAAGGACCTCTTGCAGTGAGGAGGCAATTTATTGAATTTACCATCAAGGAAGCTGCAAGGTGGGTGTAAAGAGGAACTCTTGTGTTTTTCTTAAGCAGGAGGGCCGCCCCATGCAAGACAGGTGGAGGGATTGGTTCTGCCTTGCTGTTCTTTTTGTTTTAATTAATTAATAATTAATTAATCAATTAATTAATATTTGGCTCCATTGGATCTTCGTTGCTCCGCATGAGCTTTCCCTAGTTGCGGCGAGCACGGGCTACTCTTCGTTGCAGTGCGTGGGCTTCTCATTGTGGTGGCTTCTCTTGTTGTGGAGCAC